GTGTTGGGTTCAACCTAAGAGACCTGAGAGATACAACCAAGTAACCAACACACCTACAATGGCATCTCAGGGCAGGAGAAGGGTAGGACGCAGGGGAAACGCCTTCTTCGGAAGTTAGCAGCGGCACCTACCTACCTCAAATTGGATGAAAGACAGAATCTACACGCCCAAGATGCTCAAAACAACACTGATTACTAGTTTTTATTCAAACCAATGTGCAAAATTCTCCATTAAATAAGAATTGCGAGGAAGAAAATAAGAGCCACACTAAATGTCCAAATAGATCAGAATGCTTGACTTCAAAAAGCCAAACACTTGCAGGGCACCAGCAGCTCACACCTGTCATCCTAGCTACTCAGGAGGCTGAGATCTGAGGATCACAGTTCAAAGCCAGCCCTGGCAAGAAAACCCAGGACACTCTTATCTCCAATTAACCACCAAAAGAAGTGAAGCTGTGGCTCAAGTGGTAACGCACTATCCTTGAGAACAAAACCTCAAGGACCTTGCCTATCAAGGCCCATAACCAGCACCAAAACAAAAACCTCAAAACACTGGAAAAAATACATAAAATGCAAAACTAGGCACACACATTTTGTCATAATGATAACAGTAATGAAATACAGTACACCTATTCTTGAATTTAACAGAGGAAATCCTGATGGCCTGCTACCCTACATAAGCTCCTTCAAACCCAGCAGGAGCCCTCCGTGACTCACATTCACACTGAAGAAGGATCAAGAACTCTGAAAAAGCTAAAAGGATCAAAAGTAGGACTCATGAAGATAAGCCCTGGCATCTGAGACACCTGAAGTACCGAAGACCAAGTGGTCTTCAATGAGGTCCTCCAGGAAACAGAGAACACAGACACTTGTTCATTGAAGTAAAGGTCAAGAAATAGGCTTACAACACATGCGGGGATGTGGAGAGAGAGAGAGAGCGCGCGCGAGAGCGTGTGTGTGTGCGCGCGTGTGTGTGTGTGCGCACACATGCATGTATGCAAGAGGAGGAACTGGCAGAACTCCCTAGAAAGCCATCCAAAGAAAGCACCCCCCTCCAGAACCTTTGCCCCATGGTAAAGCTGGCCTCCTCAAGGCCATTGCCTTGAAGGTAGATAGAGTAGGAACCTTTGCCTTTCAATCTAACTTCCCCAGGGCCACTTCTTCCTTTTCAGCATGCAACCATGAAGGTTTCCCTGTCCTCCACAACACAAACACAAGTTCTATGTAACAACATTCTCATCTGAATCCCGTCCCCTAGACAATGTCTTTCCAAAGTGTCTGCTTTTGCTTCTCAAACTAAATAGAATGCCATACAGGGGACACAACAGCTCAGAGGAGACCACAAAATAGCAGGACTGCTCAACCACGTGCCTTCAACTACAGTTTTATAAAGATAAGACTTTTCTCAGAGGAATGATGTAAGATCTAAAATAAACACATGCCCAGGTATGATAGTCCACACCTGTAATCTGGCTAACGAGAGGTAGAAGTTCAAGATTTAAAATTAAATTTAAGGGCTGGGAAGGTGGCTCAGTGGTAGAGCGCTTGCCTTGCATGTATGAGGCTGTGGGTTCGATTCCTCAGCACCACATAAGCAAAAAAGAAAAATTTTGGAAGTAGCGCTGTGGCTCAAGTGGTAGAGCACTGGCCTTGAGCTGAAGAGCTGAGGGACAGCACCCAGGCCCAGAGTTCAGGCCCCACAACCGGACCCAAAAAAAAAATAAACAATAAAATTAAATTTAAGGGCATGCATGAGGCCCTGGGTTCCATTCCTCAGCACCACATAAGCAAAAAAGAAAAATTTCGGAAGTGGCACTGTGGCTCAAGTGGTAGAGCACTGGCCTTGAGCTGAAGAGCTGAGGGACAGGGTCCAGGCCCAGAGTTCAGGCCCCACAACCGGACCAAAAAAAAAAACAATAAAATTAAATTTAAGGGCTGGGAAGGTAGAGTGTTTGCCTTTTATGCATGAGGCCCTGGGATCCATTCCTCAGCACCACATAAGCAAAAGGCCGGAAGTGGCGCTGTGGCTCAAGTGGTAGAGCACTAGCCTTGAGCTGAAGAGCTCAGGGACAGCACCCAGGCCCAGAGGTCAGGCCCCACAACCAACAAAAATAAATAAATAAATAAATAAATATAAACATTTTTTAAGTGAAAACGTAAAAAGCATGCTGCACAGATGCTCAGTAAGCGTTAAGACCTACCATCGCCGTGCCTGCCCCGTGCCTGCCGGACCTCTGCTGATACAACTCTTCACAAAACAGGCCCTACCAGCCACAGGAAAAGCCTACAGCAACTTTCAGTTCCCAAGAAAGGTACCACCAGGCAGAAGGCCGACTATGAACATGAGCAGTTCATTGACTCTACACTGTGTCAAAGCCGCAACAACAGTGTGACCCTCTATGGTACCTGTACCTTACCCTTACTCGAGGGGCAGGGGTCAGTCCAACGTGTGATGTCCTGTGACACCAACGAGTGCCAAGGAAGAAGAGACGGGAAGAGCAACAATGGCTGGGGCTCCACGGCACGACGGAGTCCGGGACCCTGCTCAACCAAGCCTCAGGCACATCCAGTGCTCAACAGTGGAACTCATCTCTACAGACGCACCTGGCGACCCGCTGACTCTTGAAGAGGGCCAAACTGCAACCTCCATATGAAGTTCACCAACCACCTCTGTATTCAATAGTGAATCACCACCACCCCGTTCCCAGGGGACTGGGCCAACCCTTCCTTACAAGACAGTTTGACCTCTGCTGTACCGATCACAATTCCTCACAAATTCAAGGTAAGAAGAAACGTGATAAACAATCCATTCAGTCTAGGCTATAGAAACAGCTGCCACCTATACTAATACCTGGGAGCACAAGCTCAAGCTGTTCCTCAGTCAGCAGGGACACAAACCAGACCACGATGAGATGACATTCCATACTCATAGGGTGGCTTTTTTTTCTGGTCATAGGGCTTGGGCACTGCCCCTCAGCTTTTCAGCTCTTCACTTGAGCCACAGCGCCACTTCCGGTTTTCTAGTGGTTTACTGGAGATAAGAGTCTCATGGAGTTTCCTGCCTGGGCTCGCTTTGAACCACAATCCTCAGATCTCAGCCTCTTGTGTAACATTGCCTTTTTTTTTTTTTTTTTTGGTCAGTCGTGGGGCTTGAACTCTGGGCCTGGGCGCTGTCCTTGTGCTCTTCAGCTCATGGCGAGCACTCTACCACTTATGCCAGTGCCACTTCCCGTTTTCTAGTGGTTTATTGGAGATAAAAGTCTCACGGACTTTCCTGCCCGGCCGCCTTTGAACCGTGATCCTCAGATCTCATCCTCCTGAGTAGCTAAGATTACAGGCGTGAGCCACCAGCGCCTAGCTACATTGCTATTATTTTTTTTTTTTTTTGTCGGTCGTGGGGCTTGAACTCTGGCGCTGTCCCACAGCTCTTCAGCTCAAGGCGAGCGCTCTACCACTTGAGCTACAGCGCCACTTCCAGTTTTCTGGTGGTTTATTGGAGATAGGAGTCTCACGGTCTTTCCTGCCCGGGCTGGCTTTGAACCACGATCCTCAGATCTCAGCCTCCTGAGTAGCTAGGATTACAGGCGTGAGCCACCAGCGCCCGGCTCATTGCTATTATTTTTAAATAAAGAGAAACAAAAAGAAATGGCGGTGAGGTTGTAGAGAAACTGGAATCCTTGTATATAGATGATAAGAATGTAAAATGGTACAGCCATTAGAAAAGTTTGGCAGTATCTTAAACTGACTCAGCAGTCTCTCCTACAAAACCTTGTACACAAATGCTCACAGGAGTATTATTCACTACAGCCAAAAGGCGAGAACAACTTAAATGTTTGCCAGATGATGAAAGAATAAAATGTAGTAAATGAATACAATAGAATACTATTCAGCTGTAAAAAGATCTGGCCTGCTACAAAGTGGATGAACATCAAAAACAATGCCCTAAGTGAAAGAATTTAGACATAAAAGAGCACATATTACAGAGTGCTTATGTGAAATGTCTAGAAAAGGCAAGACAGAGCAGTAGAGAGGGGATCTATTTTGCCCAGGAGTTGGAGAGTTAGGGTGAGTGTCTGCACGCAGGATCAGGGTTTTTACCTGGAACTATGAAAATGGTAAGTTAAGTTACAGTGCCATTACACAACTCTGAGTGTACTAAAGACCACCTAACTGCACACCTTTCGTGAGTAATAGTTATCCAGTAATGCTGGTTTTGGAAAAACAAAAGACTAAACAAACAGAAGTGGTAACCACAGTGGATCTGCACGCTCACTTGTAGCGCTTGGGGTAGACAACTTAACTCAGTGCTGGTGAAACAGGACACATGGTCCAGCATCTTTCTTCTGGACAAAAGCCACCTCTGGTGCATCGACTGTGGGATTCACTCAGACAGGTCCTTGAGGCCTCTTCAGACTTCTTTACCTCCCACTCAGAGAGCATCTGCAGCCACACCAGGGGCTTTCCCCATCAACTATACGGCAGCAGGCCCCTACCGCCCCATCTTCTGCCTCTGGCTGAGAGCCAGCCTGGCTCGTGGGTCCTTCTGCTTATCCACCACACTGTGCTCCACGGAGGCTGCTGGAGAGCTCTTCCAGCTTTCTACTCCACTCCAGCAGCCTCATCCCAGGGCACCACTGTCAGGCAGGCAACACAGAATGTTGCAGGAGCACTGGGTTCTACAGCTGCAGGCGCTCTCAACAGGTGACAGCAAGAGAGTGGAAATCAGCTCTCAAGGTAAGAAAACCAGACAACACAACAGCCCATAGCCCTCCAGATCCAGAATGCAGGGTATCTGCTTAGGGAAGTTCTACAGCTTATTCAAGAGGTCATCAAGAAATTGTCAAGCCTGGTATGAGGAAGGAGTCTGGAAGGTGCATCTAATGCACTTTGCTACACTAACACTAGGTCTACAACTGGCCATGCCAGGGTTACAGCTCAGCAGAGGAACGCCATCATGCCACAAAAGTCCTAAGGACAGATTAACGTGTTTCAATTACTTACCCTCTGAGAGTCGCAAGGGGAGTAACAGGCCTCGTCTACCAAGTTCAGCAAGTGCCAGACATCCACCATGCCATGCCTTGTCCATCTCCTGAAAACTGAGTTCAGAGTTCTATGGTCAGCTCTCAGTTCAAAGCCCACAGTTTAGCACATAACATAGGCTACCCAAAAAGATGCTCTTTTTGAAATAAGACATAGCATGAAGATAAATGTCACACCCAGTACACCTCTCTTCAGAGCTCTCAAAAACAAATCAAAGTCCTGGGTCAGCCCAAGTTCCAACTCAGAGCATCTACCACTGTACCATATGGACCAGTGGCAACACCAAATAAACACCAGCCTCAGAGAGTCTTCCCAAGTCAGCCGTGAGGCTCCAGCTACTCTGCATACCCAACCTCAGCCCCGAGGATCCCAGACAATTCAGATGTCATTGATTAAACACAACAAAATGATTCCTATTGTTTACTCATGTGATCAAATTCAAGATTTAAACATCAGAATGAAACCATTTGCCAGGGCTCACAACTGCAATCCTAGCTACTCAGTAGACAAATCTGAGGATTATGGTTCAAAGCCAACCAGAGCAGCAAAGCCTATGAGACTCTTCGCTCCAATTAGCCACCAAAAAGTCAGAAGTGGTGGCTCAAGTGGTAGAGTACCAGACTTGAGCAAAAAAGCTAAAGGTCAGCACGAAGACCTGAGTTCAGTACTGGCACACAAAAAAATTTATTTTTTAATTAGAATAAAATGGCATTTAGAGATTTTATTCTTGCACTAATGGGGCCTGGAACATGGATGTTTTTCTTTTGAGCTCCATCTTGCTATGTTACCTGGCTGGCCTAGAGCTTCTGTGTCAGCCTCCCAAGTAGCTGGGCCCAAGGCGGACCACATGGCCACCTGAGATAAGGCCTTGCTCTTAGAATTCACAAACTGTATAGACCACGGTAATGACCATTTGCCTTGTGAAGGTTAAAATGTGTTGTGACTTTAACTAAGAATCACTATTCCACAATACTGTGAAATACGTGACATTTATGTAATCATCTAATCTCAATTTTTTTATAAAAGTGAGGGAAGGGGTGGGTTAGGAGCGATGGGTGACAGTGTTGTCTGACACCTTGTATTCATATGCTGTTTTATACAACTACTTAAAGATAACAATAAAATGTAAAAAAAAGAATGTCCCTTTAATAGCTCAGAAGTTCTCTTCAGGATGTGGCCTGTTATGATTATTAGTATGAGTGATTATGCTCAGACTGGTCAAGGCTGCTCTGAAATTTCCATTTTTGCTACCAACATAAATATAGAAATACATCTAGCAAAAAGCAAAACAACTGGGGGGCGGGGGGAGGATGGGAAGGGATGGGAAGGGGAAACAAAGGAGGAGGCTACAATGCTTGATAAGAAATGTGCTCATTATCTTGCCCATGTAATTGTAACCCCTCTGTACAGTATTTTCACAATAAAAATAAAAATTTTTTTAAAAAGCAAAACAATTTATAACACGCTTATTAATTTTTTTTTTGGGTCGGTCATGGGGCTTGAATTTTGAACATGGGCGCTGTCCCTGAGCTCTTCAGCTCAAGGCTAGCGCTCTATCACTTGAGCCACGGCACCGCTTCTGGTTTTCTGGTGGTTCACTGGAGATAAGAGTCTCACGGACTTTCCCGCCGGGGCTGGCTTTGAACCTCCATCCTCAGATCTCAGCCTCCTGAGCAGCTAGGATGACAGGTGTGAGCCACTGGCGCCCAGACCATTTCTAAATCTTAATGTCAGCATTTGTATCCTTTTGAACTTTATTAGAAAGAGAGGCTTGTCCATGAGCCTTAATAACATCTGAATAAACATATCCATATGATAACCCAAATACAATACAATTAATGTCTTTTCTAAAGGGAAGGAGTGTCGCTGTGGCTCCTGCCAGGCAAGGCTAAGATCACCACGGCACATGCATGCCTGGGAGGGCGCCTGGTCCTCAAATGATAGGAGGACAGGGAGAAACTTCAATCAGGAACTAAAAGCAAGCTCCAGCCCTCAAACTCAATCCAAGAAGCATCCAGAAACACAAAATCCATGGACATAAAAGGCATACGATGATGGGAGCCAAGAGAAGCAGGAAGAGGGGCCAGGAGGCTCAGGCTCTACCCACCACGGTCCTTCCTCCAACATGCCGCGCTGCTATTGTGGCTGAGGATTCAAGAGCAGTAAGATCACTTCTGCCCTCTAAAACTCAGCTATATAAATGATATGTACAAGCTGGTGCTAGTAATCTTCATGCCTAACTACTCCAGAAGCTGAGATCAAAACTGCAGTTCAAAGCCAGCCTGAGCAGGGAAGTCTATGACTCTTATCTCCAATTAAGCACTAAAAAAAGCCAGAAGTGTAGCTGTCGCAGTAGAGTGCTAATCGTGAACAAAGAACCTAGGGGGGGAGGGGGTGTTTAGTTGTGGAGATGGGAGGGGAGGGATGATGGGGAAAAACAAAGGAGGAGGCAACAATGCTTGATAAGAAGTACTCATTACCTTGCTCATGTAATTGTAACCCCTCTGTATGGTATTTTCACAATAAAAAAAAAAAAAACTTAAAAAAGCTCAGGGACAATGCACAGGCCCTGAGTTCAAGCCTCAAAACTGGCACCAAAAAAAAAAAAGTAGAGATGCACAAATAGCATAAATAACAGAAACAATGCAAGATTAAACTAGTCAGGATGACTAACACTAGGCCAAGACCACAAGCCAAGAGAAAGGAGTAAAATCTGGAGGAATGGCTCACACCAGGGCCCTACAAAGCCCATGGAGACCAATAACACCCAAGGGCAGAGAAAGATGCAAAGGAAAACTCCAGAAGAATTTAGATAAAAAGCTCCAGCTAGGCTGGGAATGTGGCTTAGTGGTAGAGTGCTTGCCCAGCATGCTTGAAGCCCGGGTTCTATTCCTTAGCACCACATACACAGAAAAAGCCAGGAGTGGTGCTGTGGCTCAAGTGGTAGAGTACTAGCCTTGAGCAAAAGAAGCTCAGGCCCTGAGTTCAAGCTCCACGACTGGCATTGATAGATAGATAGATAGATAGATAGATAGATAGATAGATAGATAGATAGATAGATAGATAGATAGATAGGTAGGTAGGTAGGTAGGTAGGTAGATAGGTAGGTAGGTAGATAGATAGATAGATAGATAGGTAGGTAGATAGATAGATAGATAGATAGATAGAAGCTCTAGCTAAGAGCACGTGATCATGCCTAAAATCCCAGCTCTGCAGGAGATCATAAGTAGGAGGCTAACAGTCTGAGGCCAGCCCAACAAGAATACAAAACTCTACCTAAAAATGACTAAAGCCAAAAAGGAATGGAGAGATAGCTATAGCAGAAGACACCTGTGGAGGCCCAATCCTAATATGGTCACCAAAAAAAACACTAAACGACCAGTGAGTATGTACAGCAATACCATAGGGAAAAAAAGAAAAAAGAAACCACTTCAGGAAAACCACTGCCCCCAAGGAGATGGGTGTGATCCCAGCCTTGCCACCCACCAAGGCCAGCTTCTGAGAACGCTCTGAGAGAGCAGGGCGGGCTAGCAGCCTTGACCACTGCCCGGCAGCACAGGGAGAGGGGCAGCAGCAGCACACCGCCTGTCCAGACCCTCCAGAAAGAGGCTCCAGGATCACAAGCCCATAGAACCCCCACAGAGAATCTGTATTTGCTCCACAAAGCAACCCCAATTAGGAGAGTACTTTCTGCTAGGAATATTTCTACTACACATAGCATTACTTCAACATAGATGCCCAATGTGACATACTGTTTCCTGCACTTGGTAACTGTCACTGAACAGCCCTGAGGCTACACAAGGCAGAGAGACCTGCTACAGAAGGAAACCGACGGGGTTGCTGGCAAGTCTGTCCCGAGAGACACAGGTAGCACACCTGGAACATCCAAAGTGCTGACAGTGCACTTCTGCAGCCAGTCATAGCCAGAGAGCATGACAGAACACCGCAGCACCAGCTCCTGAAGTGCCAAGGCAAAGCAGCATCCTGAACAAGGCCGAGTCCTGTCACATATAATGTAACAATCCTCAGGGAGGCAGTGGACCAGTCCCCTGCCTGGGAATGGTCCCAGGTCAAATTCATCACCACACACACACACACACACACACACACACACACACACACACACACACACACACACACACACACACACACACACACACACACACACACACACACACACACACACACACACACACACACACACACACACACACACACACACACACACAGGCCATGAGCTCTCAGATCAGAATGCCCTTTTAAAACACTAAAACATGGGCTGGGAAGGTGGCTCAGTGGTACAGAACTTGCTTTGCATGCATGAGGCCCTGGGTTTGATTCCTCAGCACCACATAAGCAGAAAAAGCCAGAAGTGGCACTGTGGCTCAAGTGGTAGAGCTGAAGAGCTGAGGGACAGTGCCCAGGCCCAGAGTTCAGGCCCCACGACCAGCATAAATAAATGAACAAACAAATAAATAAAACTTGAGCTGGGCACTAGTGGCTGTAATCCTAGCTACTCAGAAGGCTGAGATCTGAGGATCTTGGTTCAAAGCAAGCCTGGGCAGGAAAGTCCATGAGACTCTTATCTCCAATAAACCACCAGAAAACCAGAAGTAGTGCTGTGGCTCAAGTGGTAGAGCACTCGCCTTGAGCTGAAGAGCAAAGGGTCAGTGCCCAGGGTTCAAGCCCCACGACCAATCAAAAAAAAAAAAAAAAAAAAAAACACTAAAATTTGCAGGGCGCCAGTGGCTCACGCCTGTAATCCTAGCTACTCAGGAAGCTGAGATCTGAGGATCACAGTTCAAAGCCAGCCCAAGCAGGAAAGTCCATGAGACTTTGATTAATCTCCAATTAACCACCAGAAAACAAAGTGGCGCTGTGGCTCAAGTGGTAGAACACAAGCTTTGAGCTGAAGAGCTGAGGGACAGTGCCCAGGCCCAGAGTTCAAGCCCCACAACTGACACACACACAAAAAAAACTAAACTAAAATTCCAGTGAACACTGACTCCAGGCCTCTGTCCCAAGTGTCTCCCTCGACAGCTGCAGCACCATAGGCTTGTGGCCATACTACAGATGGAGCACCTTTCATCACAGAAAGCTCTGTCTACAATGCAGACCCAAGTTCATACCTAAGAAAGAAAATCCTGTGTGCACAGGTTCCACACTAGCTTCACTTCTTCCTAAAGTTTAAATATAACCATGTTGACAATAGCAACACACAAGATGACCAAAATTGCCAAGTTTAGCTTCAAAAGGTAAAAATAGGTTTGGGGTTTTGAAGAACAGCTCGACTGAAAGGGGATGTTAACAGGACCAAGAGCAACGCTGCAGCTGTGCCCGAGTGTGAGAACAAACCTGAAACAGTCCAGCACAGACCCCACCACGTCGTCTGCCAGCTCTTTGGGAAGCCTTCCAGCCATCCTGCCAATTCTGGAAAGAAAAGCAACAGTTCATCAGACACACATGCGCATTCCAGCCAGCCCTGCCCAGCAACCACCCTATGTGTCAGGGAGGAGCAGGCAGCATCATACCCCACAGTAATGTGGGCATTGAGTCCATTACTAATGGTTAAGAGCCACCAGCACAGGAGCACCAGATGCTTGCTAAGCTCCAATTCTGGCTGTTCATCTGGCGGGCGGGGGGACCCCCACAACCCCCCTTCCACAGGAAACACTTTTGGCTCTCAATGATGTCGAAGGGTGGGGAGCCCACACAGGGCACAGGGCAGAGAGAGTCCTGAAGTCAAACTCACAGGAAAGGCCCTTTCAACCTAATCTCATACCAAGCCACACTGACTACGGGCTGAAACTTAGCACTGCTGATATGAATGCCCTTTGGCCCATAGGGAGCTCCAAAACATATGCGGTCACAGTGGAACCTGTAGATAGAAAAGTCCCCGCTGACCCATACTTGCCAGCCCTTTCCACAATGGAGTCTCACAGATAACTTAAAACTATACATCTATACCTGCAGAGCTCACAATCGCACTAGAACCTAAAACTCACATCTTAAAATTAAGTTATAAAAGAAGAAATATGACTTAAAAAACAGTCATTCTATCTTTTGAGAACCTGTAAGGAGTATGAAGCTCTCAAACCCCATGTGAAGTATTTTGTGGGTTTTTTTTTTGGATCCGGTCGTGGGGCCTGAACTCTGGGCCTGGGTGCTGTCCCTCAGCTCTTCAGCTCAAGGCTAGCACTCTACCACTTGAGCCACAGCGCCACTTCCGGCTTTTTTCTTTTTGCTTATGGGATGCTGAGGAATTGAACCCAGGGCCTCATGAATGCAAGGCCAGCGCTCTACCACTGAGCCACCTTCCCAGCCCCCGTGTGAAGTTTTTAAGGACACTGAGATACAGGCCTGTCCCTCTCCTAGGACGTCACTTCGCTCCTCGCGAGGCACCAGCACTTACCCTTTGGCTGCAGACCACCGCACCACCGTGTCATTGTCCTTCAACCCAACCAGAAGCTGTTCTGTAACAACCAGAACATGAGCTATCAGCCTCAGTAAATTCTTTCTTTTTTTGGTTGGTCATGGGGCTTGAACTCTGGGCCTGGGTGCTGTCTCTTCAGCTCTTCAGCTCAAGGCCAGTGCTCTACCACTTGAGCCACAGCACCACTTCCAGTTTTCCAGTGGTTTATTGGAGATAAGAGTTTCATGGTCTCTCCTGCCCAGGCTGGCTTTGAACCGCGATCCTCAGATTTCAGCCTCCTGAGTAGCTAGGATTACAGGCGTGAGCCACGGGCGCCCATCTTCCTCTATTTTTTTTTTTGGGTCCGATCGTGGGGCCTGAACTCTGGGCCTGGGCGCTGTCCCTCAGCAATTCAGCTCAAGGCTAGTGCTCTACCACTTGAGCCACAGCGCCACTTCTGGCTTTTTCTGCTTATGTGGTGCTGAGGAATCGAACCCAGGGCCTCAGGCATGGGAGGCGAGTGCTCTACCACTGAGCCACCTTCCCAGCCCAGCTTCCTCTATTTTTAAATGAACCCAGGAAACCCATTTTTGTTACTGTTCCTAATGGAAGCCCATCAGAGAAGTCAACCAACCAAGTGAAGAAGGCCCAGTGCAAGATGAAGGCTAAGGGCAAAGCAAAGGCTCAGAACAAGGGTCTGCCCCAGCACATAGGAAGGGGGGCTGAGGGCAGCTGAAGCAGCTGGGGACCTTCCAGGCAAGCGTCTGAGCCTGCTCCTGCAGGATGGGCCCTCAAAACACTTTGGCCACAGGACACCAGCAGCCCCAGAAAACCTGGGAGAAAAAGCAGGGGAGCAGGATTTGAGACAAGCCAACAAAAGGGCGACGACAAAATATGCCTGCAGTGATGATCAGAGAGCAACAAGGAAGAGGCCAAGGAACTCCGTATGGGATGGTGGCGTTCCGAACGGCCTTGAGCAAGCCAGGGAAGGCACCAGATGTCACATCACAGCAACAAGGAAAGGGGAACCTGGGCAGCACGTGAGGGCGATCTGTAGTCTAGGTGGAAACCTGCCCTGAAGGAGCAGATAGAAGTAGGCAGAAGGTCAGCCTGGCCCAGCCCGCTCAGCCAGGGTCCCCATAGGAAAGGGCACAGAGCGGAAGGTGGGCAGAAGTCTCCATTGTGTGACTAGAGTACTGGGCCAACCTCCCCACGGTAGGAGCTTCAGGAGTTGAGATGGCCACTGAGGGAAACACGAAAGTGCTACAGATTCAAGAACCAAGTGCCCACCTCGACCACCCTGAGAGCCCTAGCTCCCCAGAGACACCCAGGGCGATGGCCAGGTGGGCCAGGTATGCAGAAGGAAGTGTGACAGCTGAGAGCTGGGGGAGCCTAAGGCTGCTAGGGAGCAGCCCGTCCACGGAGAGGACAGGCCAGTGGCCATCCGTGCAGTGAGGGTCCCAACACGGGAGGGAGCAGAGGAACAGCCCAGGCAGGGTCCCACGCCCCACCTACCTATCACACTCTCCACCCCCTCTGGGATGTCATAGTCCTCCTCAGCATCAGACGCCACGCTGTCAGTCGGTGGCTTCTGCTCACCTTGATCCTGGGTGCAGAGCTTCAGATTGGCAGCCAAAGACCGGCTGCCACGCTGATACCTATGCAAAACAAAGCACACTCAGGTAAGCTAGTACAGCCTGAACCTACAATCAAATTTCTTGGTGATTCAAGTCATCAGTTTGGCTGAGGATCTGGCTTAGTAGTAGAGTGCTTGCCTTGAATGCATGAGGCCCTGGGTTTGAATCCTCAGCACCACATAAGCAGAAAAAAAGCCAGAAGTGGCGCTGTGGTTCAAGTAGTAGAGCGCTAGCTTTGAGCTGAAGAGCTGAGGGACAGCGCCCAGGCCCAGAGTGCAGACCCCACAACTGACCAAAAGAAAGAAAGAAAGTAAAGCCTAAGTATGTTACCAATTATAGAGTTGGTAAATACTATTATAGAATTGTATGATCAGTTATAGAACTGTATTGCCAATTATATGTAAGGACTTTAAATTATAATCCGTCCCCCAAGAATGTCCCCAGTACTTGTGAGCATGAATTTGACATGTCTAGGTAGATCTGGATGCTTCCAGGTGGCCCTCCCAAGTATGAGTTAGCCTCATCCAACCAACTCAGCTCAACAGAACAAAACACTGTCCTTCCTGCCTGTCTGTCAGCTTGACCAGAGTACCAGTTCCTCTGTGTCTCCAGCCTGCTTCCTACCCCTGCAGACCTCGGATCTCACCAGGCTGCCTAACTGTGTGTACCGATTCCTTAGGCTGACTGTGGGAATGGAGACATCACTCACAGCTGGCACTCTACCATCTGAGCCATACCTCCCGTTCTGGCTTTTTGATGGTAAGAGTCTTGCAGGTAAGAGTCTCTAAGGTTTTTCTGCCCAAGCTGGCTTCAATCTGTGATCCTCAGATCTCAGCCTCCTAGATAGGTAGGATAATAGGCATGAGCTACTGGAGCCTACCCAATAAGCTCTTAGAGTGAACTGTATACTAAATACTCAACAAGTATCTGAACCACAACATTATTTCTGTAGAATTTGCTGCCATTTGCAACAAAGTTTAACCAACTGAACTTAAAATATGGCTTCCCAAATCATATTTCAAGTTACACTTGAAATAAACAGAACTGAAGGTTACTAAAAACACGCATCCTAGGAACATTGCCAGAGTCTGTGCCACAGAGCCAGCGATTCAAAACCACTGATCACACCCAGCACCATCTTTACCACCAAGCACAGACATTCCACATCCATAGCCTGTATCCAGACGGATCACAAATCAAAAGGGAGCTTCCGGCTAGGACTGTGGCTCAGTGGTAGAGCGCTTGCCTAGCATGCATGAAGCCCTGGGTTCCATTCCTCAGCACCACAGACACAGAAAAGGCCGAAAGAGGTGCTGTGGCTCACGTGGTAGAATGCTATCTTTGAGCAAAAGAAGCTCAGGGACAGCGCCCAGGCCCTGAGTTCAAGCTCTAGGACTGGCAAAAAAAAAAAGAAGCTCCCCCAGCAGCCACACCAGTGACCACATCCTGCACATGAGCAAAGCAGGCTTCTCTCGTCACCACTCCAGCTTCAGCTAGTACAACTGGAAGACCAAAGGAAGATCACTCCTTTCCCAATGAGAAGCACTTCAGAAACTAAAGAAAGATCAACTCAGAAGACAGGTTTTCCCATCAGCCCATGTGGCCGTCCCCCCAGGGTAAGAGCCTGCCCCTGCCCCTGACTCACCTCCACGTCGCCACCTTCGGCTTCAGGAAGGTGAGCCCGAGACGCTGCACAAGCTTCACGCCCAGCTTCCGCAGCTTGGTCTGGCTGCACTCGGGGAGTCTGCACCTGTCAAGGCACTGGAGGACCGTGCTGGCTGCAAACAAGAGCATGTGACTCAGCCGAGACCAAACTCACCCCGTATCCAACACAACCAAGCCCACGGGCAGGTGAGGGCTAAGAAATACTGAGCACCAGAGCCCTGACCTACAAGACCCCCTTTTTCCAGGGTTTCTGTCAAAAGCAGGATGGAAGAACCCACTGAGTCACTCAGCACAATGCAGGAACGGTGACAACGACAGAAAAGGAGGCTGGGCCTCATGGTGGAAAGGTCTCACATAGGGAGCAGCCTGTCAGGACCCTGTGCTACACAGGCCAGTCAGACCTGGGAGAAGCCAAGGCCAAGAGAGCACAAGGACAGCATTCTATGGACAGCCATAAAGGCCCAGGACAGAAACAGAGGCCTAGCTCTCAGAAATGGGCTTGAGGTGAAACAGACCGTACAAGGGAGAGGAGGACACAAGAGCAGTCAGGATGGAACCAACAGAGCAGATGAGGGGACAGGGACCCGGTTGCAGGGGGAAAAAGGAGGCTGGAGCACAGGAGGAGGGAGGGAGGACGAGAGGTTAGTGGGGATGGGAGGGGGAGGGGGAGGAGCGGACGAGGCCACAGGGAATAAAGTCCACGGGAAGTGGCCGCTACAGGACCCCTGCAGGCTGGTGGCAACTGTGAACAAGACACAGCAATAAGGTGCTAAGAGCCTGGATCTCCAGTACAGAAACGTCAGCAATTTCCTGTATTTCAAATAATTAATAAAGTTTGCCAAAAGTCCCACTTACCAAGACACACAAAACAAAAAAAACCTAAGGGCTATGAGAGCATCTAAATACACCAAATTAGATTCCTACACTACGGATCAATGTTCAGGGACCATATGCAGAACATACTGACATCATACCAGAAAACTGACATCACAAATTCACCTTACCATAAGGTAGACAGTCTTCACGTTTTCCATGCTTAAATATTTGAGCCTGAAAAAGAAGGTGAACATCAAAATGTTATAAATACAAATGTACAGTTTTTAAAAAAAATAAACTATCACGCCGGGCACTGCTGGCTCAGGTCTGTAATCCTAGCTACTCAGGACGCTGAGATCTGAGGATCGCAGTTCAAAGCCAGACCGGGCAAAAAAGTCTGTGAAACTCTTATCTCCAATAAACCACTAGAAAACCAGAAGTGGTGCTGTGGCTCAAGTGGTACAGCGCTAGCCTTGAGCTGAAGAGCTGAGGGACAGTGCCCAGGCCCAGAGTTCAAGCCCCACAACCAACAAAAAATAAACAAGTAAACGATCACAACAGCTTATTGCATCCTATAGAATTTACTGTGAACACACATCTCCTAACAGCAAGAGAAGAGAACTACTGGAGATTGGAGAAGGAACTTTCCCACAAGTCCCTTAGAACAAGGGTACAACCGATGAAGTCAAGCCCTGAGGGGGTCTGCTCCAAACACGCAGTGTGTAGACTGAGCTAGGCTTCAAGGAGGAAGCAAGAGAGCCTCAGAGAGGTCAAGTTATCTGTGCAAAAGTAACAATGCAGTGGACTAAACTACCCACACAACAAGCAGCAGGGAGACAAAGGACTCCTTCCTCAAGAGCACTAAACACAAGAACATCTGCCCCACCCTCGCAGGCAACATCCACAGGCCGCAGCCTCTGACAGGGTCGCCTCCCTGAAACCACAGCTGTTTGCGCATGTGCACCACTCACTGCTCTGCAAGAACCTGCTGGTTACCACCAAAGAGTGTCCCAGTGAGACTGGGGCACTGGCTCTCACTGGGTAACCGCAACACCGGGTCTCGCTGGCACACTGGCTCTCACTGGGTAACCGCAACACCGGGTCTCGCTGGGGCACTGGGTCTCACTGGGTAACTGCAACACCGGGTCTCGCTGGGGCACTGGCTCTCACTGGGTAACCGCAACACCGGGTCTCGCTGGGGCACTGGCTCTCACTGGGTAACTGCAACACCGGGTCTCGCTGGGGCACTGGCTCTCACTGGGTAACCGCAACACCGGGTCTCGCTGGGGCACTGGCTCTCACTAGGTAACTGCAACACCGGGTCTCGCTGGGGCACTGGCTCTCACTGGGTAACTGCAACACCAGGTCTCGCTGGCACACTGGCTCTCACTGGGTAACCGCAACACCGGGTCTCGCTGGGGCACTGGGTCTCACTGGGTAACTGCAACACCGGGTCTCGCTGGGGCACTGGCTCTCACTGGGTAACCGCAACACCGGGTCTCGCTGGGGCACTGGCTCTCACTGGGTAACCGCAACACCGGGTCTCGCTGGGGCACTGGGTCTCACTGGGTAACCGCAACACCGGGTCTCGCTGGGGCACTGGCTCTCACTGGGTAACCGCAACACCGGGTCTCGCTGGGGCACTGGGTCTCACTGGGTAACCGCAACACCGGGTCTCGCTGGGACACTGGCTCTCACGGGGTAACTGCAACACCGGGTCTCGCTGGGGCACTGGCTCTCACTGGGTAACCGCAACACCGGGTCTCGCTGGGGCACTGGCTCTCACTGGGTAACCGCAACACCGGGTCTCGCTGGGGCACTGGCTCGCACTGGGTAACCGCAACACCGGGTCTCGCTGGGGCACTGGGTCTCACTGGGTAACTGCAACACCGGGTCTCGCTGGGGCACTGGCTCTCACTAGGTAACTGCAACACCGGGTCTCGCTGGGGCACTGGCTCTCACTAGGTAACTGCAACACCGGGTCTCGCTGGGGCACTGGCTCGCACTGGGTAACCGCAACACCGGGTCTCGCTGGGGCACTGGGTCTCACTGGGTAACTGCAACACCGGGTCTCGCTGGGGCACTGGCTCTCACTAGGTAACTGCAACACCGGGTCTCGCTGGGGCACTGGCTCTCACTAGGTAACTGCAACACCGGGTCTCGCTGGCACACTGGCTCGCACTGGGTAACCGCAACACCGGGTCTCGCTGGGGCACTGGGTCTCACTGGGTAACTGCAACACCGGGTCTCGCTGGCACACTGGCTCGCACTGGGTAACCGCAACACCGGGTCTCGCTGGGGCACTGGCTCTCACTGGGTAACTGCAACACCGGGTCTCGCTGGCACAATGGCTCTCATTGGGTAACTGCAACACCGGGTCTCGCTGGGGCACTGGCTCGCACTGGGTAACTGCAACACCGGGTCTTGCTGGCACAATGGCTCTCACTGGGTAACTGCAACACCGGGTCTCGCTGGGGCACTGGCTCGCACTGGGTAACTGCAACACCGGGTCTCGCTGGGGCACTGGCTCGCACTGGGTAACTGCAACACCGGGTCTCGCTGGCACAATGGCTCTCACTGGGTAACTGCAACACCGGGTCTCGCTGGGGCACTGGCTCGCACTGGGTCACTGGCTCTCACTGGGACAGTGACCCCAGTGGACACTGATTCTCACTGGGTAACTGCAACACCGGGTCTTGCTGGCACAATGGCTCTCACTGGGTAACTGCAACACCGGGTCTCGCTGGGGCACTGGCTCGCACTGGGTCACTGGCTCTCACTGGGACAGTGACCCCAGTGGACACTGATTCTCACTGGGTAACTGCAACACCGGGTCTCGCTGGGGCACTGGCTCGCACTGGGTCACTGGGTCTCACTGGACACAATTCTTACTTTCTAAGTTCTCAGTTGGGAAATTTATTTCCAATTTGATGCCTGGTAGACAAGTGTAATTCTGAGTCTCCAAAACACTGAACCAAAAATTCCTAAGACTTAGTTCATCTACAAATCAGCAAATACATTTTTCCTCTGGGGGACAGTAACTTGAAGCAGAAAAGTCCTTAAGAGCCGGGCGCTGGTGGCTCACGCCTGTAATCCTAACTACTCAGGAGGCTGAGATCTGAGGATTGCGGTTCAAAGCCATCCCGGGCAGGGAAGTCCGTGAGACTCTTATCTCCAATAAACCACAAGAAAACCAGAAGTGGCACTATAGCTCAAGTGGTAGAGCACTCGCCTTGAGCTGAAGAGCTGAGGGACAGTGCTCAGGCCCAGAGTTCAGGCCCCATGACTGACAAAAAGAAAAAGAAAGAAAGAAAGGAAGGTCCTTAAGATTCCATTATCAAAATAACCATCAAAAAGCTGTGCTGGAGGCACACCTCAAATGGTAATGCACCAGCCAAGCAAGCTAGCTGAGCAAGTAAGCCTCAGTACAACACAAAAATAATTACTAAGCCGGGCACCAGTGGCTCACGCCTGTAATCCTAGCTACTCAGGAGGCTGACATCTGAGGATCGAGGTTCAAAGCCACCCCAGACAGGAAAGCCTGTAAGACTCTTATCTCCAATAAACCACTCAGAAAACGGGAAGTGGCGCTGTGGCTCAAGCAGCAGAGTGTTCACCTTGAGTTGAAGAGCACAGGGACAGCGCCCAGGCCCAGAGTTCAAGCCCCATGATTGACAAAAAAAAAAAAAGATAGAGTGGAGAAAATTTTGAAAAACAATCTGGCCAGCTAAGAAAAAGTTTAAAGCTGTGAACAAGAAAGACACAGTGGGGGCTGGGAAGGTGGCTCAGTGGTAAAGTGCTTGCCTTGCATTCATTAGGCCCTGGGTTCAATAACTCAGCACCACATAAGCAGTAAAAGCCGGAAATGGCGCTGTGGCTTAAGTGGTAGAGTGCTAGCCTTGAGCTGAGGAGCTGAGGGACAGCACCCAGGCCCAGAGTTCAGGCCCCATGACCAGACCCCCCCCCCCAAAAAAGGACACAGTGGCTAAAGTAATTAGTGCCATTATACTTAGAGGAGGAGTCCAATGGTGTCATAAGTTCTTCAAAAAACTAACAAGCCACTTAATAAAATGAATGCTAGGAAGATGAAACATTCTAAGGGAGAGGGCAAAAACCATGGGAAGAGGACACTGACTGAGGAAGAAAGGGCGTGCAAACGTAGTCATTCCATTCATTGTACACTGTGTGAAAATGGAACCACATAGCTTGGGGTGGGGTGAGATGGGGAAAGGCAAAGGAAAACAATGCAAGGGCGGCACTGACCTCATAACCTGGCTTCTGAAATCAAACCCCTTTACACAACTACTTAACTAAAAATTTATTTTTGGCCAGACACCGGTGGCTCACGCCTGTCATCCTAGCTATTCAGGAGGCTGAGATCTGAGGATTGTGATTCAAAGTCAGCCAGGGCAGGAAAGTCCATGAGCCTCTTATCTCCAACTAACCGCCAGAAAACCAGCATTGTGGCTCCAGTGGTAGAGCCAGCACCTTGAGGTGAGGAGCTCACAGTGGCACTGTGGCTCCAGTGGAGCGCTCGCCTTGAGCTGAAGAGCTGAGGGACAGCGCCCAGGACCCAGAGTTCAAGCCACACAACCAACAAGAAAACAAAACAAAACACAGTCTCTCACTTTGCCGGGCGCCAGTGGCTCATGCCTGTCATCCTAGCTACCGAGGAGGCTGAGATCTGAGGATCACGGTTCAAAGCCAGCCCAGGCAAAAATGTCCGTGAGACTCTTATCTCCAATGAACCACCAGAAAACCGGAAATGGCGCTGTTGCTCCAGTAGTAGAGTGCTAGCCTTGAGCTGAATTGCTGAGGGATAGCGCCTAAGCCCAGAGTTCAAGCCCCAGGACTGGGGGGAAAAAAGTATAAGCTTATTTGTAAGATTCTCCTTTGAGAGCCTTAGGGAGTATCCGGCTCACACAGGGCTACCTAGGGCAGCACTTTCCTAGGTTCAGTTACCTTGCACTCCAATGTAGCAATAGTCCAAGAGAGCCAAGCACTTGTAAAGATGATGGCAGAACTTAGATCATCCTAAGAGTTGTGGGGTTGCCGGGCGCTGGTGGCTCACGCCTGTAATCCTAGCTACTCAGGAGGCTGAGATCTGAGGATCGCGGTTCAAAGCCAGCCCGGGCAGGAGAGACCGTGAGACTCCTATCTCCAATAAACCACCAGAAAACCGGAAGTGGCGCTGTGGCTCAAGTGGTAGAGTGCTCACCTTGAGCTGAAGAGCG